AAATTTTCATTGAATTCAGCTCATCTTCTTAAACAGGATGGGCAATAGCAATTTCATCGATTAAGCGCGTGAGCTAAATAAAACAAAATGTTTATATCTTCTCGTAGATAACTCTTTAAAATACAACAGACTGTTATAGGACGATGAGCAGAAACGTAGCCCTGTCAAGACATTTGCAGCAATCCCTCCTGATTGCTCTCCCAAAACTCACGGCCTCGATATTGTATGCTTTTTAATCTGGTGTTCACCTACAAGGGCTTTCATCATCGTCGACACAGATTTGGAATAACGCAGGCAAACCAGCGAGCGCTTTACTGGCTTTGTCGGTGCGCTGACGCCTTTGTGCGAAGCCAGAAAGGTACTACCACGTCCTGGTCTTAATGACTGATACACCCCGCGTAGGGATATCGGAAAGAGAAGGTTTTAAGAAAGGATATCTACTCTTTTCGCTCATTGTGTCGAGTACACATGTGTAACGGGCCTGTCAGCACGTGCGTGCAAGGGGCGATAAGTGAGTTCAAGGCAAGATGACTATATCAATGCAGATTTTAAACGATGAGTGATGACCAACGCGGCCGCTGCTTCTGTATCCACTATCGTTTCGATGTTTGTGGGACCCAAGGAAGAACACATGAATTTTTGGACGCCAGCGTGTGTCTCGACTGAAGGTTTTGGCCGGCTAGCTTGTGTCCGGCAATCGAACGATCGAACCTATTTTCCTTAGCTTCTATATCGACTGATCTGTGATCTTGCTGTTCATGCCAAGGAAACAGGATAAAGATACGCTTTACTCGCCCGTGCTCATAGCCTTTCGATATCGTTGCATTTGTTTTCCGGCATCGGGGCTGCCACAGAGATTGCCGCATTGTGTGAGACGTACCATTGGACCATAACAATGGCCAGCGATTACATCTGTAAACGCAGTGTACACGGTTTATTTGCATTATACACTGTGTTTGTTGCAGCAGTTTCGACGCTGCTGCTGCTGCTGCTATAATCATTGTTTTCCGTTGACGAGAACACCGCCAGTTATGCTCTCTCTCTGGTACCATACATACTATGGCGCCCACTATATGAAACAACGGTAGAAGTAGCGATAGTGTCAGTTATAGCCGTTCGAGATCAGGCAGGCATCACGCAGGTAGCACAGTTTCGTCTATTCACTTGGTTAGTTTTTCCTTTGTGTTCAAGGCCACTGCAACGGAGTGCCGCTGTTCCTGATGGCGGCGTTGAGGCTATTGTCGTCGTCGTCGTTGTTGTCGCGCCTGTTGTAACTGTTCCTGCTGCTGCTGCTGCTGCTGCTGTTGTTCGCGTCCTATGTCTTTGTAGTAGCGCTTCTCCACGAAGCTGCACACTTCGTGTAGAAGCGCAGCCATTCTTAAATTTGTTGGGATGTAAAACGTATATGTGTACAGCCGTCTTCTATGGCTGTGTTTCCAAAGCTGTTTGACGACAGTCGAATATTGCTTAGCTGTACATTACTAATTGATGGTATGCATTGTGTCGAGAAATACCAAGACTGGCTAGCATGCAACGCGCATATAGATTGGCATAAAGGGAAAAGCACGTAAAGGCCCATTCAACAAATGTCCACGACCGCCTAACCGTCTGGACAGCTTAAGGCAATCCGGGCTGGATCAAGATTTCGTAGGTTAAACCAAATCGAAGACAGCCCGCAGCCAATCGCCTTTGCCTGTTTATTTACATTTCCTTATCAATATGCTTGTTCGTGAATACACGCGATGTGGCAGATAATGTTAGAATTTAATTCAGTAACTAAATTGCCAATTGTCCAAGAACAATGTTCTAGAAAAAAAACTTGTAGAGACTTGTCCCTCGATACTGATTCTTTCTACAAGCAGCTCATTGAATGAGAAGCAAGCCTCTACTGGCGGAACAGGGCCGCTGCCCTAATTATTCGGTAACCGCGGATATGTATCCACTCAGAACCGTCAAACCGTAGACGTAGCTGTTCCAATAGGCATAAACAGCCGACGAAGGTGGTAACATGGATGGTTCTATTGTGTATGTATCATTTAATCTATTGTGCATGTAAGCCAAATACACTAACAATCAATAATGCTACGGCCGAAGCCCATAATACCACCTGTCCCTCAAACGATGCAAATGTAGTCTTTGTAGAATACTTGTGAGTTTACCCAGTAGTGACCACTCAGATTTGCCTTTGCCTGCAGGTGTCGAGAGTACCGCCACACAGAGAGAATAAGGATGATTTAAGTGATCCGAAAATCTCAAACGTTTTCTTACACAGCGATACAGTTTCACACTTCCCTAGAACGGAATTCAGCTGAAGTTGGCGTTGAGCTTATTGTTTTTTTGGCGAAAATACGCGCTCTACACCTACGTCACAACCGTTAGCATTGACAATATATTGCGGGTCTAAAGAGCAAGGCATGAAGCCCAAACACAGGTTTTCTCCGTGTTGTGTCACATTATTACAGCTCTGGATTCAAGCGAATTCGAGTGAGCAAATTGGTGCTAGTTCGGGCTTCACTATCACACATTTCGGCTGGCCATATGGCGGTCACTACTTCGATGTGCGTGCGTAGATGTCGTCTCGTTGTGCTCGCCACTTGCGGGCTCCAAGAGCCTCACTCGAAGTCTAGTTTAACCGTACACATCATACCTCACTAGCCTCACTACAAAAATGTGCACAGCGTACGACGAACACTTCTAAAAGACGCTCCCTTGTGGGCGCCAACGGAAAAGCAGGCGTATGACCGAAAAACGAGATTGTCGTAGAATTATGTTCGCTAATCGTGACATAGGCTATATGCAGTGAAGAGTCGGCCGCTTCGGTGCCAGGTGTTCGGCCAGCCGACAACTAGTAACCAACAAACGAATCAGGCTTCTGAACAGCGACAACAGCGCCAGCAATACTTCAATGAAGTACAGTGCTTTCGTGGCCAGCTCGTTTTATACGACTCTGTTCAGAATCGGCAAACCATTTTTGTTCATTAATTCGTAATCGGTGGAGGTCTTTGTCAATAGATATACCAGTATGTAAAGCAAAATTGGAAAAGAGACTATTCTCACCTGGTAATCTTTATAATCTGACAAATCGACATCTATAAACAAAAAAAAAAACGCGTCCGAACGAGTGACAAGAACAGCCGTTAATTGTAGCCGTCCACCTCTTCATACGCTATGGGTCTGCATGCAGCTCTAGCGGTAAACTTATATTCCATTTAGTAGAAGGAAACGTTCTGTCAGAATTCAATGTTCTGTGGGGGTGATAAAAAGTACTAATTAAAAGGTCGAAATGGGTCGTGGGTCCATCCCGTATTGTCTTTGCTTAAACGATATACATGTATGTATATACCAATAATGAACATTATGAGTTCTCTGCCAGATTGACAAGCATTAGAAGAAACTCATAGTATTTGCGCGATCATGACATTGAAGTTTCTGCGAACTAATCCTACGAGAACCCGTAGAGTAACGAGTGAGTTCTACGAGTATTTCCATGGAACGGTCTCTCGGGTCGTTGTTGGCGAGCGGCCGTGCAGTTGACCAAACACCGTATTGCCTTGTACGGTACAAATAACAACGGTACCAAACAATGCTTTGGCAGAAGGCCTCTGTCGTTAAAGGACACCCGTTCTTCCATCTGCGCCATTACGCCAGTCCTCGTAGCCACTGCGACGCGCGCTGACTTTTTTCTTGTATCTCAGATACAAAAAAAAAGTCAGCGCGTACGCTGACGTAAATACCATGCCAGCCCAGCCGAAATATATGACATGACACGACGTACAATCGCTCCCGAACCATAGTCTCCCTATATGTGTGTTCCCCAATTTTGTTGTTACTGGTTTTGCCGCAGTTGTTATTATTTCTGTTGTTGATCGTTGTGGCGTAATTACGATAATGATATTTATCACATTGAACAAACGAGTAAAGGGGAGAGAACTGTCGTCAAAGATACCGATACAGATAGTAGCAAACAGGATGCTGTGCAGATCAGATAAAAAAAAAAAAAAAAAAAAAAAAAAAGTAAGATGATACAGAAAATTTCCCGGTTTGAAGGCCTTTTATTCCCGGTGTATTCCGTTTTACTAGGGACAGATATGCTCATTTTCTATCTATAGCATGATTTATACAAGGGACGATTTCAGACCGATGTAAACTATCTAATACTTTCCCTGACTTAAGTGTTGCGAAGCGTTCATTTTACTTAAAAATGCTATAGTCTATAGCAGTGGACTATGCAGACCTAAAGGTTTACACCGAAATGTCAACTGAAAAGCGTAGTATTCGTATCGATCGTCTCGCAAGACACACTGTTTTCTCTCTATACAAATCATTAGATGCATATAGGAATACAAGTGATGACATTGTTACGAACACGATAATTGTCATTTTCTTCACATGGGTCTCTGTATTAGGCGTACTTGTCTGCGCTTCGCAGTCACTAGCAGAACACTGAAACGTATGCGATCACTGTATTAACTATGCCGATATACGCAGTACTTATACCGTGTGAACTAGCACGAGCTAAGCTCATCATCAGCCCATCACCGGGGCCACCGTCTCTGATAGTGTTTTGGGCCACTCGATCAGGCTGGCTGTCAGCTATCACTCTAGCGTGACAGGGCCGATCGTACTTGTAGCTGTAGCAGTAGAGTTTATCTCATTTCGTTGTTTTTAAGGAAGACCAGTTTAAAGTTGGGTTACTCGACGAGGTACGCTAAATTCCCTTGCCTGCACATAGTTCATAAACGAGCGGCGTGTGCACGCTTGCCTGCTGAGGCCATAGTGGCCTTGTGAGGCACAAGGCTACTTTATGGTTCTCGTTCTACGCGCAAGGTACACACACAGTTGTCCTATGATTGGGGAAGGAAACGAGGGACTGGAGGCAGTTCAGTAGTGTGCGTTCCTTCCGTTCGAATCACCCGTCTGCCGTCAATTGCGTTGGACTGATACATTTTTACTAAAGCTAATCTATAAAAAACACCGTACAATTTCAAGCGAGACTTTATTGGCCTACATTAGGCACAATGGTGCCTATGCTGCCTGTCTGAAGTGTGAATACAGAGAAGGTCGTCTATTATCGTATTTGGGGCACAATTAATAAGGGAGCGTATTTTGTGCACCAAATTATGACCGTACGTAGAATACAATATTATAGCTATATACATCGAAATACGATTGATTAAATAGTCGGCCAGCGGAAATCGGCACACGACAGAAGTTCCTAGAACAACCCAAATATACTACTCTAAAGTATAACATAGTTTAGTTACTAATATCCTTACAACGCTTCATGAGGTAACTGTGCATACGCAGATGACAGTGAGTTTGGCGCTATAAATTAGATAAAGTTTGTTGCAGTTTGCTTTCATAAGCCATACAAATAGTCGGTGTCCTATTCTTCCCTTAGTACAGCCTAGCAGCTCTTCTTAATGCAATGAAACAGTAACACAACAAATAATTATTATCATTCTTAAATCCATCGATAGAAATGAATCGTCTCTAAATCGAATTACTGATTTCTTGATAATTCTTACTAGAAGATACCTTAGAGGGTTTGGCACGATTGCCATATTATAGTGTTGTGTCTGCGTTCACTGTACAAACGCGAACATGTAAACACGCTTCTTCCTTGAGAATAACCGCAAATGATACTGGTGGATTATTAAGGTTTATCCTTTATAAAGTCGAACTCGCGCCCGCTCTTACAGATCAGTTCCTGCGGTACCGAGCAGACGGATGGAACAGGAATCGCCTCGGCGTTGCTCGCTCCCAGCTATCCCTGCGTCGACACGGGCCTATGTCACCGCCGTCACAGACCTTTGAATCAAATGGCCTTCTATCCTGATCGTATCGTATTCGGCGTATATACAGTTCGTACTGTATCTGTCGATAGTACGTGCTTTCTTGCCTCTCCGAATCTCTTTCCCCCACACGTTCCGAGCGGTGCGTCACCGCCGATTCAAACAGCAGTTTGGTCCCAGTTGCTGTTATTGTTGTCGGTGAACAGACGGGTAAACAAACGGATCGGCAGATGCACAGCTGGACAGATCCTCCAATTACGTCGAAGCCTAGAGATTCTTGAAGACGTAACGTGTTTGCTTCGCTTTACTGCTGTCGCCGCCGCCGCCAACACCGATGCTTTTCCATTATCTTATTTTTCGCCACAGAGCTGGTGTTGATGTTGTTATTCCTACCATTGCTGTTTCTGCTGAAGGGCAATGATTTACGATTATTGGGATTCAACGTATTGCCCGCTACCCCACTACCGTGTCGCTGTAGCTACCGCTTTTCACGACGTCTTGTTTGAAGTCAGCTGGCAGTGCGTTATTGTTATCCGCGTCGTTGTTTTTGTTTCGGTCTTTGACGTGCCGCGGGTAACCACCGTGCTTCCTATTAGACCGTTACTACCATTATTATTACTCAGTGTAATAATAGTACTAATAACTATTATTTGCGTTGCTATTACTGTTGTTTGGAGTTTCGCGGGACTGGATGTAAGCTTATGGTAGACTAAACGATGACAGCGCACGTTTGAAACAGCTTTGTAGCCTGCGTGTCAGTTGAATTGGCCGGAGAATACTAAACTATAGCCCCGTAGACTTATTATTAGTACCGGTCGATGGGACCTCTTTCAACCAAGCAGGCATTCGTATACAGGATGTATGATTAGTGGGTCTTGTGTTAAAATGACAAGTAAAAGATATCAAGCCAGTTAATAGCCATCTCCCATAAGCAATTGAAAAGCTTTTCTCAGGTAGTAAGTACGGCGATAAAGAATGATAGCTCAGATATCCATAGCTGATTTAGTAAGCTGCTTCAGCATAGGCCGTTCAAATGACGTGCACACGTATTCGTACGATAACGTATCATAACCGATTCGATTAGACTCTACCTAAGGGTTTGTTAGATGCACGTTCATGCTGTATGCTCTCGCACTCCATAAACAGCGCTTGATGATCGGTGACTGTCGTGAAGCCGTGTACGGATAACGTCCAGTCACGTCTATGCGTGTGCAGGCGGCGTCGAGGTCTGCACGGTAGTAAAGTCAGAAGTACAGCAATCATGTGGGTTCAAATGAAGATCTGTTTCCTATCGATATACTCCCTGCAATGAAATCCATTATCCGTGTGCTTTCGCTATCTACAGTGCATCTTGTACGGTCTATGTTGAAACAGCAATGTCGTAATAGATACGATGATCGACGCAATGCGGTCAACCGGTAGCGTCGGCACCTCTGTTGATTGATACTGATTGATTTGGATGGAGGTGATCGGCACTGGCTTCTTCAACGGCCAGTTGACAACGTCTTCCTTGGCAATGTGAGGTAAAGTAGCCGTGTGCTCCGCCTACAATAATGGCCAAGTGAAATGTTGAAACCAAGAAAACTTAATGAATAGTTATTGTTTGCATGCTCTGTTAAATGTAATACAAAAAACTATCTGAACATGGCCCTTATTTAATTGCCGTCTGGACATATCCGAATCAAAAAACCAGTACAACGAATCCTTAGACCGTTACTGTGTCACTCATGTTAAATAAACAAAAAGCAGAGCTATAATTACTTTGTTATTTAGCTAATATGGTCGATGGGGCACTTCCTAGTACCGTTGAACTAGAGACTTGGCATGGTTTTCGTTAGTGCAAACGTAGCTTGTGTTCATTTGTATTGTCGCTGCGGCAGTACCGTCGTAAGTATTCAATCTGGATACGATGCAGGCCTCAACGAAAGCTTCAAATTGCGACAACATCTAAACAGAATAGGTACCGGAGATAGAAATCTTATAAAAAGATAAAAAAAAAAAAACAAGACAGCCAAATACGAACAGAAAACTCAGCTATGGTGATAATGTGCTTCAATGTATTCTATATCGCCACATACGTGGAACATTTTATATATATATATATATGTTTTAAATAAAAAGCTAACAAGACACGAGGTGAACCCTTCTTGACTTTATTCCTTACCCGTTTGGTTCAGTTCATCCGATGATAATGTTTGTAGTGGGAAGGATCAACGTCCTCGGCACTGGTGCTGAGCCGCATCTCGGCTTCTACCGCCATTGACTATTGCTATCACGCACGCACAGACAGATAGACAAACAAACAGACGAAAAGCAAAGTACACAACCAGAAACTGAGAGAATCAACATCAAAAAAAATGGGAAGAAAGAGTAGAAAAGAAAAAGACTTCTCCACGGAGAACAACTTTCATTGTTCTGAAGTTTTCTTTATCTTCTTGGCTGTGTTTTTTTTGATGATGATGGTGCGACATCGGCATCATCCCCCGTTGTCGCCACCGTAGCCGCTGCCATCGCGGTGCTGTCGATGTTGTCTTCACGAAGTTAGTTCCATTCGACGGAGTCCGACTCTCATCGTCTTGGGATGGCGTCTTCTCCGGTGTTCGTTGTTGTTCCTGATTCTGCTCCTCTGCTTCGACCACGATCAGGCGACCCGAGTGGGGTTCCATTCAAAACGGATGAAGGGGACTGAAGAGCTGAGGGGATGATAGACCAAAGAGGTTTCTACTGGTCGAGTAGAACGGGCCGCATGGATCAGCTCCATCCGATGACGATCATGCCAGTACTCTGCCGTTACCTCTATCACTGGCTCCGCCGTGACTGAGCAAAGAGAGGGGAAAAGTGAGAATAGAGAACGAAAAAGAGTCGTATAGTTGCAAAGCAACCACGTCGGCATCGCGTCATGTTATAGTCAGATCCATTCAGTTGTCTGATTTCCGATCATCTGCTGGTAACAGCAGCACCCGTAGTGGCTGTGCTGCTAACGCTAGGCAGTTCCTCTAGTAGCCTTGTATGACAAACCCCCCACACCGACCTCCTCAATTCTCGGTGTCACTGGGTGGGAGGGGTATATTCTACCCTGTTTCATCTCGGTTAGCCAGCGCTCGCACAGCTGTTGTCATTTGTTAGCTCGGATCTGGAGCCGGACACTTTATTCTTTCAAATTTCTTCCCCTTTTTCATCGTTGCCGTGGCCGTTTTTCACCTTTCTCTTCGGCTTCCTCATCGTTTTCTGAATGGATCATCAACCTGCTTCAGACGCGTGCGACGCACGCGCCGCTATCATCAACTCCTGGATTCGGCAGCACTCTGGAAACGCGAGCGAAAATGCCGCGCTCGTCCAGTAAAGCTACCCACAGCATTGCGCCGCTGTTGCAGACGTACTGGCAGATCGATTAGGAGCGAAGTTTCCAGAACAGAAGGAACGTAATACGTACTGGCAGACGACGAGGTGGTCGCCTGGAAGACGGCAATCGCAACGTCCGATGGCTAAAGTCTGACTTCAGCATCGACCATTCGAAACGCCGTAAGAAACCAGGTGACCAGATTCTAGCGCGGCGCTTTAGGGGCGGCGGTAGCTAGGAAAAAGAATATGCATACGTAGAAACCTGCTTCCCTTCTATTGTTTCCCTCTTTCTAAACATATAGCATATATAGCATGATAGTCTGCTATACGTAATGACACATAAGCGATACGATGCCGTGCTAGTTACAATATGGCTCTGTTTGTCTAATGTGTAATACTATAGTTTATGAGAAATTTGCTCCCAACGAGTACTAACGGAAAAGTGGGCGGAGATTATGGACGAAGTTTTGTCCATCCATCGCCGTATCATTTGGGATCTATGTAGAAGGCATAGAAAAACTCTAGTTAAATTTAGCCATTTGGGAGAACCGTTTAGTAGGCCCAAGTGCGTCTCAGTCAACTGACTCTCACCCCGTGCAGCGGGCAAATCGCAGCATTTCAGCACTAGCTGAGGCTCAATAGCCCGATCCTAAACAAAATACCTTATCCACATAGATTGTGTAGTATTGTCCTGTTATCGTCAGACCGGCTGAAAGTGGTCGACATACAGGCACCTCTAGTTCTTCCGAGGGTCAAACGTCCACTATATGCCACGTTTACATACGTAGTTAAACAGTACCTATCCACCCTATGCAAACAATATGGTTTATATGCCATGTCATAATTATCTAATACACTAGTACAAATACACCGTAGATAGAGCGCTTAGTGACTGAACGTGTGTACGTAATCCAAATGATATCGTGACTAGAGGTGATGGGCGGCGCCTAAAATAGCCCTCTAAAATGCCGACCGTTGTCTAATAATATAATATTATCGACCAATAATCGTTAAATCCCTCCCACACGAACGTTGTATCGATTAAAGGGAGGGCGTTGCACAACAGTCGATAGAACGTACTGAGAATTGCCTCACCGTAGCCGCCGCCGCTGCTGCTATAACTGACTAAATGTTTGCAATTTAAATTACCTGCGTATATGAAATTTTGAGCAGGACATGCTGGTTCTAGTGACGAGAAATAGAGAGAGATATGCATTATCGATTTATCTCCTGATCATTAGACAAGTCGTTAGAAAGACAGTTGTGGCGGCCGCTAGAATCGGCGATGTGGTATCTGAAGCCAAGCGGAACAATATGGCCGTTAGTCTCCGGGGCAAACAGATGGTCCTTTTTCCAAAAACATAATAATTCCTAATATGTACGTTGTTGCCTGTGGTGTTCTTTTTCTGTCGACCTGTTTGATGCTGGGATCCGTTTCTGGTCGCCGTGCAACCCTGCGACGTGAAGAAAGGCCGATGCGATCCATATAGTCGGTGGCAGTCGCTATACCCGAATTGTTCGCATCATTCCCTTTGTTTGTAGATTTCAAACGAACATGCCCTTATGTATAGCACAGTACCAGACACTAGTTCATAACTATCTGATCTGATTTCATTCATTCCTGTCTATGTCATGGCCGCTTTTCCTCTTCCTATGGAAGCCACCAGCTACCGGCAGAAAATCCAATTGCGGGAAAAATATCCCGTAATACAACAAAATCGAACTACTGTCCTAACTGAATCATACATTCGCACCGAACGGCGTTCAGGCGCCTTCCGGCAGCATGACGTCCATATGCACGTATCGTTTACACCGTACCGTCTGGTCAAGCACAAAGAAAATTGGTCCGAGTTGAAAGATTCCTCCCTGCTATGCTACTATGTCACAGTTGTCGGCTTGTTTATCGGCGATGGCGACAGCGACGATAAGAATCGAAGCCATTTTCTTCTTTGTTGTTTGCAGAAGGACTCCGTAGATGAGAGTGATGGAAACACTTTAGCGGCATCAGAAGCAACGGTAAACGACGATAAGAGCAAAACGTAATCAAGGATAAATTTGTGCGGGCTGCTCGCTGACGGCTCCTGGTCACCGTCATGCTCATATTTCTATAGTACGGACTTCTTCTGCCCCTGTATGACCGTAGAGGCGTTCGATGCGTTTGTGTGTCGGAGGGCGCACGTATTTCCGCGTATTTATTCGATTCCGCCCAGTGTCGGATGCGTTTGATGTCGCTGATGCGGTACTTAGTTCGTCGCGTCTCCCAACGCGATGAGGTTAAGGACCCGACGCAGTAGAAACAGTCACTGCAGCCAGCTGTATCTGCTGCTGCTCTTAAATATACAGATGTGAGTACGCCTGTTTGCGTGTAAGAGCGGCGAAAATGCAGACATGCAAGACGTGGCATGTTCACTCCATACCGTTGCTTACAAACACGAAGATCAAATACGAGGGGTGAGTCTATTGGAAACAACAACGACGATGACGACAACATCGGAAGCAGCAGCAGCGGCGGCAGCGGCAATGGTAACTGCAGTGAACGCCAACAACTAGACTAACAGGCAACGTAAGCAGAGATGCGTGATGCTGGCGTAAATGATGATGGTAGTGGTTTTGGCTTTAGAGACACCGGTACTTTGCGGTGATGACGCAAAATGTCTAACCTCTCCTTGCCTATTCTGCATCCTTAGCAAACCACAGCGGGCCAGATAAATGCGAACTAAATAGACGGTACGCGGACGCTGTGGACCAACCTTCTCGACGACGAAGTGAACACAACGCTCGTGAAAAAGCACGCTGTTACCGAAATGCTCCAGCTCTGTCAAACCCGGCCACCGAAACGGCCGACGATCATTGTAAGATGACGAGCAGCACCTTGCGATGGTGTTGATGATGAAGCTCTAATGGGAACTTTCTTAAAACGAATTTTGCGCAAATTGTTGATGTCGCAGTTTCCGTTGCTGTTAGTTTAGTGCTGCCGATGGCGCAGGTGGACGGAAACACGACCAGACCTCCCACGCGGCACCTTGTCCCCTGCGGCTGCCGTTACCCCCGCAAAGCAATTGACAGGGAGCTGAAAATGAGTAACAGGAAAAGAAAATACCAAACGATCCGCTGACGACAACGACAACAATAACAAAGCAGCAGCGGATCCGGCGGTACCCAACTGACAAAATGAAACCACGCACAAGTGGTCGCCAAAAGTGGGTGCCGTCCATCTTGGTATAAGTACAGGTTTTAGCTGTGAGCAAGCGTCAAATATGGTAAATAAATAGCAGGTAGTTAGCGTACCTTCGAAGACTTACGCACACAGACAGATGACACCAAGCTGACGATCAGGTACTGATTAACCGTCGCTTTCTGTTTTCCAGCCTTCGGATATCATCGTGCAAAGTAATTCTCGTATAGGGTCACGGCCAGTAAAGTCTGTGAGACCCGTTGCAGTCTCGAGAGTAGATTGTTTTCTCTTTTTTTTTTTCAGAAATATACTCTTTATAGTAGTAATACTTTTCGTATAAATGAAATCTTATTTATTTGCGGGTTACCGTAATGAACATTCGTTGGTTCGCATACTTACTCCCTAATTACTATGAGTCGTTGTTGGGAAATTGATTTTTGCAGCCAAAGCGTGTGAAGTCGAACCATAGGAGGACCATCAATAATTTTATTAGTTTGGAATATTTACTTACGCTATGCGAAACGAAGAATCTTGGCAGCTTTAGGCTGTAAATGACATGCTTCAAACGTCAGCTCTATGATGCAGTATATCTGAGACGAGAGTACAAACGAACGGTTACCCCCAGTCCGGCCTCATATATGCGTGAACATAGCAACGTGAACTATTGTCACTTTTATAGGCGAAATCAGTCCTCGTTACCAATGGTTTCTTCGGAGGAGTCGATCACGACGATTGCAACATAGGCCGCGAGTGGAGATCCCGCTCTATCATTACGATCGTCATGGCCATTACTAATATCCCCCCGACTTGGAAAAGGCTCTCATCAGCGCACCGGTAACGAAAACTCGGTAGCAAAATCAAGCAGAACGAACCCAGTAACTCAACTGCTAGCACAACACCAAGGATAGAAACCCTTTCGACCTTTTACGAGGGCCAGCTGCATTAGCGGGACGCGTGTTCTATTAGACGCCGATCCCCTCCATCATGTCCAGATCGGACATATTTCCAATCTGCGTGTCGTCTTTATGAACGTTCGTTGTTCCCTCACCCAGCAGCCGCTGCGTACCACGTCGGACACGTATCGTACTTAATGATTTTTTTCCTTTATCCGTCGTTCATTATTTCTGTTCAGCTAAGTGCTGGCTATTGTCTGGCGTCCTCATCGCATCGGCAGTTGGCGGGAGAAAACGTGCGGTGCGCTAATTATTACACGTGTGAGTCTCACGTGAGCTGTTACATCAGTACTGGAACAACTCTGTTTCTCCGCTACCATTTCTGGTTTACGGTGCCGTCGTCGAAAGCGGTCACAGTAGCCGACAAATGCAAACGCGCATATAGCCATTCACTGACAAACGAGGGCAATGATGAATGAGTTAGCAGGTGCGAAACCGATGAACAGAGATAACGGAACTGATACAAACCTATTACGCACCGGTGGTACGCCCAGCGTCGCTGCTGTAGTACGTGGCGACGGCACGCGACGGGCCGGGACTGGTAAATTAACTGCAAAAGCACTGCATAATAGCAAATACTGTGTATATTGTCGTTTCAACCAAATACGTGATCGGGATAACTGTGTTTTCTGCCGCGTTCTACCCGCATTATTGTTTTAGCAATGATGGCGTCTTTTCAGGTAACCAGAACTAGGACTGATTTGTTGCTAGTAAGCTAGAGTTAGCCAGAAGGCTCAATTGGGTGCCCGTAAAGTTAAGTGTTGTTGAGCAATGAGGGGCGGCGTCAGAAACGCCGTTTGGCGGATTTCTAAGACAATTTTTCTGTCCAACAATGCTTAATTCACGTGAGAAGTAGAACGCCACGCAGCGCTTTAGATAACTTGCATCTTCGCATTCGCTGCCGAGCGGGCTTAATATCGCTTGCGATGAGATTGCTTATAAAAAATATGGTATACCCTTGGACAATTACAGGAACGTATAAAGTTTTTCTATATTCCGATCGCGGTTCCGTGAAAGCATATCTGTATCGCTGAAGGCCAGACTGTGCCTGGGATATGGTAGACCCTGAGTAATTATTCTAATACGTCAACTGACCTCATTGACGATACTGTCGAATTTAGCAGATGTCCTGTTTGACCCAGCGGTATAAAAACGTTCCGACAGGAAAATCTGTCGAAAACACTTCGATAGCATAAACTTGATCGTCTAACCTATCTTCGATGTTGAAATTTTCGCACTTTTTTTTTTTGCTAAAGTTTCTGATCGATCATTTTAATAATTGTAGTAGATATCAATTTCCGATAGAGGTTTCTTGCGGAAATTCTTCATTATATTTCTACGTGTTTCTTATAGTACAATTCTTCCGATATATTAGCCAACACTGGTGATTTGCAAAGTTTTGCCATGCTATCTATGTTTAAGACAGTGGTATAGATACTTTTATGATCACAAGTCAAGTTTTCATCTGCCACTTTTGTTACGGTGTGATTCTCTACTCGGCCGATCTTCAACAGCGTGAACTGGTTCACAGCTTCCAGCTCCGGAGTCTCCTTGGATTCCACTACTGCGAATGCCATGATGGGATGTGGGGCTTCTTGTCTTTATTGTTGTCACCGTTATATCTATGGCTTTACTAGTATCTGACTATCTGCTATAAACCTGACCATCGGTCATAAACGGAGCGCACCTTCCTCTCCTGCTCAGCAAAGTAGGCTAGGGCAAGGCAACACCAGCAAACGAGTTGGTGGCTTGCCGAGGCCAGCGATCTATTGCCCTTAGTATTTTAACCACTTATGCAGATTCGCGCATTGCCACTTACGTACTGTTCACCTAATTGTCTTTCGATTGCCGTCCCTTGCCATTGGCCACGTATTCGTCCATCCATCAGACCGTTGCCCGTGATTGCGAAAACGTACCACACCGCTAGCCCGGTCGAATTCCATCGGAGAGTTAAGCTAAACGTACGAAAATTATCGTCGTAGAAGTATACGATGGCAGCGACAATGAGCCTTATTGTCACCAATGCTGCCTCAAATAGACACGAGCAACAACTTCAACGCGGACAGACAAGTACACAGCTGCGGTACAGCTGATACTTTTCCTAATGACAGTCTCTTTTTTTTTTTTTTTTTTTTTTTTTACTAAAATGCATGACTAGCAGTGGAAACGACTGGGTTATTATAATTATTGTTCTAATTTGCGCTGTATTCGTACGAGACCGCTTCTAGTGCCCCCGTTCGAACCTGCCAATTTGCGTTTGCCGATGGCAATTAAACAAAGGCTACTGTGAGCGTTGGCTGTGAGCGGTGTGTCCTGCGCTGTCTTCTACACGATCGCTATATGGCATGCTGACGATGGTCATCTTATACCCAACGATATAGACATATATATATATGCCCATCTAAACCAAAGCCATCTAGGCCGAGGCAACGCAACAATACCGCCGCCTACTTACCAACAACAGCAGCAGTAATAGTTCTACCGGGTTTTTTTTGGTTAGCACTGCTAGATCGTCTATACCTTATGCGCTTGTACGCACGCGCAACCGGAACAGAATGAGCTGCCAGATATATGTGTCGATAAGACTTTTATATGAAACTTATGTCATCGTTGCCTGTATTGACGAAAACCTGAATACTCGTAGATAAGATGACGATGGTATTACTGATCAATTTCCACTGAGTCGATCTAGCTGCTTTGTTTGGAGACTTCAATCGAGTGTTTGTTTTAAACATGCTAACGTGCTGCATTAGGTCGTATTGTACAGCTGAATGATTGTATGAGTGTGGGTCTCTTAGATCATGGTGTTTTCGCGTAAAGCAGACAATTATGAACTGTCAAGCAAGACATCTTCTTTCCGGGGCAAATGTAGCTTGGATCGTCTAGCGAACAATGGATGACCCCGGCAAAATACACCTTCTTTGAACTAGTAAAGTACGTCTATTCTGGTATCGGCGAATGGGTAGAAATCCAGGACGCCATCTAGCACGGTCAAACACTCATCCGATCAACAGGTAACCGAGATAATGCGTGTACGATATTTGAGGCGTAAAGATATAGTTAGGGATGAATCAAAGCGTTACCCTGTAGCCGGATACTAACCGTTACTAGTTATGCTATACGCTTACCCAGCACTTCGCCTACAGCCGTTGTACAAGATGATTTTGTCATATTTAAACTCTGTTTTATTTGATATGATGTTAGTCTCCGCTGACAGCGGACCCTGAGCCGTCTATGGGCCACCATCTTCGTGACGATCCGGCACGAAATGACGTCGCG